GTTCCTTTGCTCAATCACTTTTTCTTTGCACTGATGAACATATGACAAATTTATCCATATTTATTAATATGCACCACTACCTTGCTTGTCAGCTGGCTGGTCGGCCCTTCTTCCTCTCTTCTTTCTCCTCTCTGCTTGCTGGGCTCTCCTTCCACAGCCTCTTCTCCCCACTGCTTGTCTCACAGAGGCCTCTCCTCTCCTCCCTCTTTTTCCATCCCCTTCTTTCCCCGTCTTTTTCTTCCTCTCCTCTCCCACCAAAACCTCCTCCTTTTATATCCTCTCCTCTCTCCCCTCTTTTCTTCTGGGTGCGCTGGAAGTGCCAATCAGCTGGAGCCACGTTGCGCCAATCCTGGGCGTTTAGCAGAGCCCCAGCAACACCGCAGTTCTAGCTGACTCTTTCCCAGGCCTGTGAGGTGCTGCCTCCACTTCAGCTCATCCCCCCAGCTACACTTGTCTAATTTCCAGGTGCTGAAGTACCACCAACAGTCTGTAGTACTCCATATATTATTGTAGTAACGGTCTGTAGTATTCCATATATTACTTAAAGTTTTCTGGAGAAGCACTAAACTAAGCTGTCAAGGCAAGCATCACAAGGTGTAAAGATGATTTAAAGAAGCAGTCTTTGGATTCTTAACTGTGTATGTCTTTCCACCTCTGAAATTATACAGATGGTATTGGAGACATTAAAGCAATTTTACATGGCATTGGTCTTTTGGTAAATTTGGGGGGGGGGGAATTCTTGGAATAAACCAAAAGTCCTACAGTTCCAAGATCTTTGTAAAATAGAAACTCAATCCATGAATGACAAGGGATGAAGTTCTGGGCATCTTCACAGTCATATGAATAAACTGAAAACAATGAATGTATATATTACATACAGATGATACGATATGTCTTACATTGCATCTTATTATAGAGGTAAACATAAATTTGTTGGATATTGAACAAAGAAGGTGTAGTTTGAGTCCACTGAGTAATATATTTTTCCAGCCACTGGAAGATGAAGAACCACTTTTTCACAAAACGTGTATAACATTTAAACAAACATTTTTGAGAGCAAGGCAACTTTGTAGAGACATAGGATGACTCAAAGTTTCTCTTATGACAATCTTGCATCCTGCAATTGCTTATAGATCTTGGTAGTTGCACCCTCAGCTATTTTATTAATTATATAAGCAATTGTTACTCCCCTTTCTGCATTTTGATTCCTTTCTATCTCCATATATAAATTCCTACATCTTAAATATTCTATGCGGATAAAAAAATAAAGCTGGGTTCTCCCAAACTTTATACTCTACACATTAGAAAGTCTTCATCTGTTAAGATTAAGGATGCATTTTCCATGCAAAATCTGAATCCTACTACACCATCAGTGCTCAACTTTAATGCAGACTTATCACCTGGTATTCTTACTGCTGAAAGAGAAAAGGGCAAAAGATGAAAATAAACTTGTTTCTTACACCAAGCAATCACTATCACAAGCTATATTTTCTTTGTTAGATGCAACACACTGTAATATTCATTGAAGGCTTATTGTTTTAGATAAGGGTCCTGCTGGACAAAAAGGAACGCTACACAAATGCACTAAACCAATAAATCTAGGAAATCTTGTTACAAATGTCCTTTTATCTGATCACTGTCTGGTTCTTCCTGTAATTTGGAATACTAATGTTATCCTGAATTAATTACCAAAAAGTGGAAATTAAAACAAAACCACCCATTTCCTTAGTTATGTTGCTGCTTATTCAAATATAAGGAAACTGTGGCCAGACGCTTAGCTTATTAGAACTATTAGATCTCAAATGCCTCAATATTTCAAAAATTAAAAAGGGATTTACTTTAGCAGCAGAATGCCCAATTTTCATTTCAGTGGTCTGGATTTCAGGCCAGGCATCTTCATTTATAAGATTTTTGTTAGGCAGTGATGGAAAACATTGTAGGATAGTTTAGAAAACTTCTGAGCAATTAATCCTGCATTAAATGGTCTGAATGTCTAATTTGGTAAAGGGCAGCTTATTGTTTCCTAATAGGTTAATTTATCCCATTAAATAGGAATAGACTTTTAGTAAGAATTCAACAAAAGCATAACACAAACTTTTCGTAACACAAACACCTGTAATAACATCAGTCTAAAAGTAGATTGTAGACTAGTTTTACCCCAATCATATCTTGACATATTGTAATTTCATCTCCCCTCCTCATTCAATGAATGAAGGGTTCCCATAATTTGTTGAATCAGTGATTGCATTTAGAATGTTTACCTGTCACAAGAACTTGCACAAAACGATTACCATCAAAAGCCTGGACACTCATAAGGCACCCATTTACCAGAAGACAAATTGGTGCTAATAACCCCGTTACTTCTATAGGACATGCTTTCCCATCCCGGCTTACCTTTTTTATTTCCTGAGAAACAGGCAATTCCAAAATATTACTGAACTGTTCCAGACCTGAGCATTCTTGGAAATAAAGCCTGCATGAGGCTGGTATTCTACTTTGCTTCCCCTTTCCTTTTTACTAAAATATTCAATAATAAAATGATGAGGCAAAATTTAACAGGTATCAGACATGGGGATCCAAGAGTCTGCCATTGGAGTGTTACTCTTATTCTCCTATGTTTACCACAACTTTTAAGTATTGTATGTTGAACTTCAGAAGCACATCAGATGGTTTAAAGTTTTATTTAAAAACATTTCCAGTGTTTGACTACTCACCTGGAAAGACACATTATGTTTAATTTGTTCACATTTAGGGAAGTTTATATAGTAAGTAACAGCAACATAACCTCACATGAAAGCATTCAAAACTGAAAATGATTAAATGACTAAGGCTGCATACCTCTGCGTATCGGATGCTGGGCACTTCAAGAATGGCTTTTTGACTTCATGGCTTTTGTGCAAGTTATTATTGCATGGGGAAAATAACATACACTTGCAAGTAGCTGATTGTGTGAATCATGAAGAGAACTCTTGACAGTATCCTTCATTTTATTTTGAGATGTCTAGTAATGCCATCCATAGCCATGCAGAATAGAAAGTAAGCTCAAATGGTACTTTCTCGTTTCAATTTTCCACTTTTGGATATACTTCCCTGAACAGCCTGAGATCAACAAGCAAATACATGTGCATCATGCGTAGTTCTCAGATTATTTACATAGAGAGAAAAAATCCTTTTAGCTGGTGAACAAACTTCAGCATTTTAAGCAAATATATAATTCCGTTTAATAAGATTTCAAAGCAGTGACCATATTTAAAGCTGTTCCAGTGATTTTTTTTTCCTAACACTGATCCTCACCAGAATAAAATTTTGTCACCTAGATCTGGAGAATAGATCTTTTTTCTGTTCTGTATCAGATACATCCTAACTAGCTAACCTACATTAATCTCCAATGTCATCTTGGCTCAGCTTATCAGAAGGAAGAAGTGTGCTTGGAAATGGACTTGCACATGCTCAAATTTAAGGAAGTATTATTAACTAAAGTGGGGATTGGATACTATTCATAAGATGAACTGAAAAGGAATGAACATTGCAGTTCTGCAAAGTAATCCTAAAATCAGAGCCAACTGGATAGACCCCATGTAAATTTGTTAAATTTCTATTTTCCTGTAGGCAAAAATCCATCCTGTATTCTGTATCGCAGATGAAATCTGGGTGTCCCACTACTTTCACTTTTAGGAAAATTGTGTATCTTTTTCTCTCAGACTTTTACCTATAGATGGATGGAAGGAGAAGGCTTATATTAGAGAGGAATCTCTGCTGACAGATGCTATATATATTTATCAAAGGGGGGGTTGGCACATTGAGTGGTTACTAAAGAGAAAAGGCACCCTATAAAATTATGATTTATGATTATTTTGTGATTATGACTGTGATTTATCACTCGTTGCTTGCATGTACACTGAGAGTTTAGGTACCGGAGACAAATAAAGACTTTTCTCTTCTCTTCTCTTCTGAGTATGAAGAAAAGCTAAAGTATCTGAGCTACTATTATATCCCTCTAAAAACTAGAAAATAAATGCACCCTGATTAGAAGCAGTATAAACTTAAATGATCTTTCTGAAAAGGTACCAAGAAGCCCAGAATCACTTAAAAGTCAGACCAGAAAAGTATCAGAACTCATTAAGTACTGATTTACAAAGCATTTTGCAACAGTTTATACTCAAGGATTATTTAGTCATAGTAGTTTATCTATCAGTTCAAGGAGTCTGTTGACCAGCATTAATTGTAGAAACAATGTATCATTGTGTCTCATTATAAGTTTATTTATAACCTGTTTGTACCAGATATTTCTTTAATGTTCAAATATTTTGGAGCAGAGTTAAACATTCAGGTTAGAATTCATAGAGTTATCTAATTTTATGCTGCTGGACCATTTCATACCCTAGTTTGTCCAGTGTTCATCCCAGTAGCTGGGATACTATAGCTTTTATTCATGTCCTTCTACAATCCAGACAGAATTAAAAATGTGGAGGAACACTGAATTGTAGGGTCACAAAAGCCTACTAGATACCCCACAAAATTTTACTTTGCATTGTCAGCATCTTCATACCTATATGTACATTTGTGATTCATGGTAGTTATACAAGAAAGTGGCAACTTGTTTTTTCACCAAAGTGGTTTTAGGGAGCTGGACTTTGGGGCAAAACTTGGTTAAACTTGCACAGGGCTTTTTTTCTCATAGAACGCCCAAAACGGAGTTCCGGCATCTTTTTTGGATGGAACCTTTTCAACCAAGGTGGGTTGTATGATGTGTGTGAGTTCCGGCACTTATTATTATTTTTTTTTTAAGAAAAAAAGCATTGAACTTGCACAATAATGAGGATCTCTCTCCCCATCTGCCAGCAATAAAATTACTTGTTACTCTTATACTGTGAAGGAAGAGAAAATTAGGAAGGATCTTGTAGCCCACCAAACATGCGAAACATTCTTGGTTATCTTGGAATTCAGTACTAGCTGTCCTCTAGTTTCATTTTATAATTCCAGCAAAATGTTCACCCAAATTGTATGAAAGTTCCTTTACTGATAATCTCCTCTTGGCACTTTTTCAAAAGCACTGTGTTTCATCTCTAAACACCCACCTAATAATTTTTCATTGACAAAACAAACGTAAGTACAATTTTTGTTGCATATTGACATTGCCTCATGAAATGTAAAGTTTATTAATACTTGATTTCTTCTACAAAATTAAAAAAAGTAAAAATGCAACCTCATGTGCTGATCCATTGAGTGACTAGCAACTTTAAGTGGCCAGTGACTTGTGCTTTCTAAATTAAAAATAAGGATTGCAAGGAAAGAAAAAAGAGAAAGATTTCCCCAAATATCCAAGTCAGCCAAGTCAAACTGACAGCGGTTTATAGAGCAAGTTGGACCATTCTATATATTGGCTGCCTTTGATTGATTGTGAACACTGCAGTTGGCAGCCTAATTCAAGCAAATACCTAGTTCTCTCAGAAGCCACATGCAGATCATGAGATTTAAGGGCCAAGACATCTTCTATTCCTATAAATTTGCCAACATAAGTGCTATGTAGAATTCTAATTCTAAAATCGAGCAGCCTTATTAAAACATAATTATATTTATTAAATGTTTAATTGTTTGTCTGACCAAACTGTTAAGAAGGCTATACCAAACCCAGATTCAGTACATCATATATTTTTGGAACATGATCAGATCAGATAATCAGTTACATACGTAGACAGAAGAAAACATAAAATTATGTCATTCATACTATTAAACATGTATAATACCTTATATCAAAAATTAGAACCAAAATGCTGAAGTATTATCAAATCTGCGTAGTTTAAATTTGTTGAGGCCAAGAAAGGCAAACATTGGAAAACATTATAGGAAAAAACAACATATAACAGGTCATTTTAGACTTGGTACCCCCACCCAAGCAATCAAACATCCTGGCATGCACCCAAGATGGACAGAATAATGAAGATGTAAACCATGACACAAAACATGCTTTCATTTTTATTCACAAAACAGCTTAGCTTGAATTGCTAGAACATTACAAACAGCCTTTCCATTAGAGATGATAAGAAAGCAGGAGATGAGGGATTTTCAACATAAAAAAGGACTTCTATATTTTTTCAGCACAGGTTCTGCAACAGCTTACATTGGAATTCCAGCAATATTTCCTAATGGTTTCTAAAAGTGAATCATTGCAATTAGTTCTGGGTTTACTCTACTATGCAATTTTATTTGGTTCTAAATTTTATTATTTTTGCTTTTCTTTTGAAAAATGCCAGTTTTCAATATATTTTCACTTTATAAGACCAGACAAGACATCTTGTTGATTAAATCTTGTCTTATCTGTAGAATTAGGGAAAAGAAACTACCTTATTTTAAATATATTTTCATTTATAAACATGAATTGAGGCATTCTAGAAACTAGCCACACTATTTTTCTTTAATGATGGAAATCAATCAGATAAATGAAGAAATTGCTGTGCTAATTACAGTAGTGCGTATTAGTAACTAGATTTAAAAGGTTACTGTAAATTTACATTCTCTACACAAGAACTGCATCTTCCACACATAAACAACATCAACACCAAAACACAGGAAAACAAATTGATTGATTGTCCATAGTCTATTACATCTCGATACTTTATGGATTCTTTTAAAAAATTATTTGAAAACATTAATGCTTGTTTTACTAGTACTTAAAAGATGTTAAACAAATGCCGAAAAATTATATTTAAAAAAAAAGGAATGAAATCTGCAAGAAAATATTTTTGGTTCTAAAGGAGACATAGGCGCATCCATTTATTTCCGTCAAAAAATTCCTTGCCTGAGACAACACAAGCAAGCAGTGACATTGCACTGGAAGATAGAGCTTTGGGATTCTTGTTCCTATTGAAACCATCGGAATGCAGCACCTGTAGGAAGCATCACTTTCTGTAGAGACAGAAGAGAACAGAAGAGGGACACATGATAAGCAAGAATGAGAAGAACCAGCCCAGGACAGAGTTCAATTTTGTGACATCCAGTGCACTAAAACAGGAAGTGCCATATTTCGACTTCAGTGTTCCCTATCACTTGAAGCTTGCAATAGTGTTCATAATAGACTCCCATATTTAATTGTTTTTGCTTTCTGCTCTTGTCCAAGTTTTCTTGATAACTTTCTTGATAACTTTAGTACTCTTTTCCTACCCTTAGTTTCTGAACCTCATCAAAACCTATAATCTATTGCATGATCTATTGTTCTTTAAAAGAACCAGTAACCCACATGAAAATTGTCCTTAAACTCTATTTCAACATCTTCAAGAACTACTAATGGATGGAATAGAAACATTGGTATTTCTTGTATGACCTCAAAAATAAAAAGTTGTCATTTGCATAGCCTTGAGAAGAATTTACTATATTTAGTTAAGACTTTTGAGATTTGTTTCACTTAAATCTTGCTACCCACAGTATATGTTAGTCCTCTTTTACAGTAGAATGTATTTCTCATGAATAAAGTATAATGTATTTCTGTTCAAATCAACTTGGTTTAGTGAAACTGTTGAAAATCAGCATCAAGTTTGGAAATCTGTTCTTAAAAAAAGAAGGCAATTCAATTCACAGGACAGCTGTGAGAAAATAATGAGAAAAGGGTAAATTCTTAAAAATATTTACCAATACTCCAATTTCTAGGCAGAATTACAGGTATTGAATTCAGATTATGAGATTTCCAAGATTGCAAAGGATGCCATTTGGAACACTCTATCAACATATATCCTTGTACTATATGTGACTGATGAAGTTAATGACACACATAAAAATAACAAGACAAAACTAATTTTGTGCTATTATATAATATCCTAATTCTTAGTGTTAATCTGGGCAACTACATAATTTGGGCAACTATGCTAAGCTGGCAATCACAATAACTTTATCAAAGCTGGTGACAAACAAAAGGTGTTTAAGTGATCCAATTTAAGTTTCCATGCTATCAAAGGCATTCAGGCCTTTATGCCCACTATACCATCCTGTGATTTAGGAAATATACAGTTTCCTTCAATGACTGAAGAAGCCTTATTGCTGGACATCATAGCTCAGAATTTAGCATAATTTTGAGTAGACTGTGAGAGGATAATTTGCTGTAAGTGTTATCATGTGTATGCTTTTTTTCTTCCCTCTCAAAACTTATGTACAAAAATTAAGAGAGAAAAAAACTCCATTTTAAGAACAAACTTTATGAATATATTTGGCTTAGTTAGGTAAACATTCACGCAAATAGGTTTCTCTGCCTGTGCAAAATGTTCTTTCTGGAGCTTTCAGACATGGAAAAAAACCCTTCTCCTTGCTAATATACATATGCAATGAGGTTCCTCCCACAACTCCACAATGCAGGTAAGGCCCTAGTCCATAAGAACAAGGAGCCAAGATTTCAGGTAGATGGAATAAAGGTTTAAGCAACCTATTGTTCTTCTTAAGAGTTTTCTGTGCTTTATACAACAAGTAGAATAGCAAATTGTAAGCTATACTAGAGGTGAGGCATATTGTCAGGTTAAAACAGAAAACCACCTGGCTGAATGAGGCACCTGTTCTTTCTCAAACATAGAAAAATGGCCAGTCATGATGTCACTAATGTGCAGATCTCTCAAAGAAAAGTGCCCATCAGAAAGGCTCTTAGTAATACTCTGACAAGAGTGGGATGTCAGTGAACCCTCAGGAAACAGGGAATTTCACTTTTATAGACAAGGAAGAGCACGGTGCTCACAACTCAGTGCTCTACTTTGGCCAGAGAGGAGAAATATTTCTTTAAGCAGCACGAGAGCCCCAGTCTACAGATTTTTAAGAAAGGTGGAATATGTTGATTTCAGCAAGCTAAGGCTTGCTAGACATCGAAGCAATGTAGAGATGCTTCCCAAGGCATGAAGGGATATGGGGAAAATATAAATGACATTAAGGCATCCTGACTCACATAAAACTCAGATTCAAGGCATAAAAGACATTAAAACTATTTATTTAGGGTCCAAGTTCAAGTAACAAAATTTAAAATACAGCACACCATTAATATATTGTGTACATATATAATCTATATACATATATAATGTATGTGTAGTGTTGCATATGTGATGTACATATGTAATGTAATGTATGCTGTTATTTTAAATTTTGTGAAATAGAATGAGGAAATGCCAAGTTAGCAAACTATTAGCACTGAGAACCAAACAATCAAAGCAGCTACTTTCATGGATGAGCAAAGATACACCTGTAGCTTCAGAGAAGTCATCTTCCCATCCCACACTATCTAAGTAGATAGCATTGACTTGTCCACAAAGGAGATACTGGTACTGAAGGAGGTTATACTGGTATTCACTCTTTTTTTAAAAAGGCATATATTAACTGAGACAAGGAATATTCTCTGGTTGATGCATATTATTACAGCAGCAAACGTTACCTGGGAAATGGGATATCCTCTGTAATCAAAATGTGTACAGACATTAAATTATAATTGGCTCCAGTATCCTGAGCAATCAACAGCTCAAGAAAAGGAAAAACTTGCAAAAGGCTTGCAGTTTGGTTCTTTGCCTCTCTTTGGTTACTTTAATCATCTACCCATATTACTAACCTAACACTGGTCCTAAGTAAGTTTAAGTTCCACGGTGACTAAAATATATTTGGGAGATCCAAATCCATGAATCCCTAAATTATGTGATTTTAAGATTCTTTAGGTCTGAAAATAGTTAAAGGTTTGAAGGGAAAGACGTGCCAAATCTTTTCTATTTTATACCAATTCAGCAGATCCAAAACTAGTGGCAATTTGCTACACATCTTTAAAAAGTTGGAGTCTTAAAGGACGAAAATATTAAAAACATAAGAGTGCTCTCTGAGATTGCTTGCTTTGTTGCAGACATTTCATTACCCTAACTAGGTAACATCATCAGTGCTAGTAAGGAGTGCTGTTTGCTGTCAGTTTATATTAAATATTAAAAAAAAAATTACCACCACTGCAGAATTTGACTTGGAAACTGAGCCTGCCATCCCAGACATACAGTGAGACTTGATTTATTCCACTTGAAATGTAACTTTGAAAGATGTACTAATAATCAATTAAAAACTCTCAGAAGTAATGAACAACAACAAAAAATTGTGATCAAGATCACTCAAATGATAGAACCACATAATCAAATCAGGCTCATATATAATCTTTAGTGAAGTGTGCAAACCAGCATTTACATTTCCTGTGTCAGATGAGGAGAGCACATCTCTCTCCTTCTGTCCTGGCCACTTTTTACAGAGGCACGATTGAGAGGTTTACAAACTGCATCACTGTCTGGTTTGGTGGCAGCAGTGCCTCAGATAGAAGGTCCATATAGAGAGTGGTAAGGACAGTTGAGAAGATTATAGGAAGCTTGCTTCCCAGTAAGTATTCAGGATGTTGCTTATAAATGCTATGCGCTTAAGAGCTCAAAGCATTGTTAAGAAACCCCACACACCCATTTTACTATCTGTTTCTGTTGCTCCCCTCTGGAGGAGATTTCTAGTAGCTTTGTTCCTTATGCCATCCATCGTGTAAATTCGCAGGATTCTTTTTTTTTTTTTTGCCTATGTATACATTTGAACTAGACTGTGATGTTTCTGTGTCATATGTGTGTATATATGGATGTATACATAATAGGATTCTGTCAGAGCTGAATACAATGAAATTTCTTTTAATGTATGCTGATTAGTGTACATTGAAAGTGACAATAAAATTATTATTCTCACCCAACAATCTGGCTCAGTGTCTAAGGGAAAAATCAGGCCTAACAGAATAACAGAATTGAAAGGACCTTGGAGATTTTCCAGCCAAAGCTCAAGCAGGAAACCCTATAGCATTTCAGACAAATGGCTGTCCAATCTCTTCTTAAAAACCTCCAGTGTTGAAGCACCCACAACTTCTGGAGGCAAGTCATTCCACTGATTAATTGTTCTAATCGTCAGGAAATTTCTCCTTAATTCTAGGCTGGTTCTCTCCTTCATCAGTTTCCATCTATTGCTTCTTGTTCTGCCTTCAGATGCTTTGGAGAATAAGTTGACTTCCTCTTCTTTGTGGAAGCCCCTTAGATAGTTGAACACTGTTATCATGTCACTCATAGTCCTTCTTTTAATTAAACTAGACATACCCAATTCCTGCAACTGTTCTTCGTATGTTTTAGCTTCCAGCCCCCTAATCAACTTTGTTGCTCTTCTCTGCACTCTTTCTAGAATCTTAATATCTTTTTTATATCACGGTGGCCAAAACTGGGTGCAATATTCCAAGTGTGGTCTTACCAGTGAAGTATAAAGTGACCTTGATTCTAACCCTCTTGTTAATGCAGTCTAGGACTGCATTGGCATTTTTGGCAGCTGCTGCACACTGCTGGTTCCTATTTAAGTGATGGTCCACTAGGACTCCAAGATTCCTCTTGCTATTACTACTACTGAGCCTGGTGCCACCTATTTTATACTGGTGCATTTGATTTTTCTTCTCGTGTGATACCTGCCCTACTGAGCAACACACTCCCTTGAGCCTGTATTTCAGAGTGTTGGCTATTCCTATCAGCTTGGTGTTGTCTGTGAATCTGATGAGTTCCATTCTATCCTGTCATCTAAATTATTGATGGCAATATTGAAGAGTACTGGGCCTAAGGCAGAGCCTTGGAGTACCCCACTGCATACTTCCCTCTATATAGATGCAGTTCAATTAAGGTCCTGTTAAAGAGCATTAAGATCTTTACATCTTATGAAGGGCTGGCCAGGTAAGAACCATCTGAATCTCAGAGAGTATAGTACCTTCCAGAGTCCCATTACACAACTTTGTTTAATAGAGGACCTTACCAACCTCCTCAGACGTTGTGGGACCAAGCAGAAATAACTGGAGATATGTGGTTCTATAAATAAGTCTATCCTGTGCCATGAAGGACTTTAAAGATAATAATGGGGAC